AGCTCCAGATATGGATCAGTGTATAAGACCGGCATAAGACACTCATACTGATCTGAGCTCTTTCTCTTTTCAGATGGTTGAGATGTGTGTGGGGGAATCTCAGTTCCCAGGCTGAGTTATAGCACTGATAACAGTGTGGCACAGCACAATCGCCGTAAATGACATTTACTTGGCTATATAAACAGAGAAATACCATAGCCCAGTGATTCTCAAACATTTCGGCTCCCAGGCATTGTCCAAGACAAAATCGAAGGTCCTCTTATCTGAGCTGATATGTACAATCTGGTACTTCTATTGTAATAAAACAAAACTCAAAAATATGATGGCATTAACAGAAGCAGCAGTTAGATTGTAAGACATGGTGCTTCTACTAACCAGCTTTAAACATAAACTGTAGTCACTTAGTTTGCCAAGGTTTTCTGCCCAGTAAAATGTTTTTTTTTTCCTTCCAAAAATATAACAGTGAGTTTTTGTTGCCTTAGCTTCTGTTGATGCCTTTGATTGTGTCCCAATTATCACTTATCTCTTGTGGCTGGTGGTCCTCATCCCCTTTTGGTAACCTCTCTGTTACTTTGTTTTCTTGTAACTGTTAGTGTTTTGTGTGCAAGAAGTTCTTTCTCATTGCTCCTACATTACGTCTTTAATCTCTCATCTTCTGTTTAATGCTGGTGGAATTAAAATATTTACCCACAGTGCACCTGTGTGTCTGCTTAGCTCGCAGCTGTGTCATGTTGTTTTTCAGTTTGTTCATTCCTATGTTCTTTATCTTTCTTACGCGTAACATAAACATCTTCACTTTAACTCTGTGGCCGTAAGTGGTACTGTAAGTAATACATCATGAGAATGTAAGTTGGGTAGAGCTTCTTTCAGGGCAGTTGTGTGGTTTGGGTGGCACTTAGTAAGATCAATGTCAGTTTATTCATAATCTATGGGAAATTAGTGATTATGTTCCACACAGCTGTTTACACCACGCTCTTGAGTTTATATTTTTTTGGTGCGTCAATCAATTTAATTCACATATGAACCAAAGATCCATACTCAAACACACTGAAGAAGGCATAGAGCCGAAACATTTGAGTTTCCAATGTGGTGGTGAAGGAGGTAAAATAAAATGTACTAGCAGATTTAAAAATTTTTGAGTGCGGATCTTTGGTTCATATGTGAAGTAATTAGTAGAGATCGACCGATATATCGATTTACTGATATTTTTCCCGATATTTAAGCATTTTACAATAACCAGATATCGGTTTTGTAATATCGGATTCACCGATAAATGCCGCCATCTTGTGGATGTTTTGAGAATTGCGCGCAGGATCACCATTGCAGCGCATCTGAGGGGAAACAAGACAAAAACAACGGCGTCCACGCGTACTTGATTTACTGTAGTTAGTAAACTTGATTTAACATAACAGCCATTAATGCACAAATTAGATGTATTACATAAATGCCTGATATGCAGTTTATGCAGCTTGGCTCGAAGAAATGAACTCACGTAAAATAATCCGTCAAATCCTGTCCCAATAAAGACGTAACTTTGCGTGAATTAAATAATATGCAGCCATGAATGGGCGCATGTTGGAAATAAAAGTGCTGAATTTAATTCGCT